AGTCCCAAGCAAGTTGGGGTAGGCACTGGGTGGATATACAATTGAACTTAACATTACTCTTTGCTTAAATTGAGTAGAAAATTTTCAGGAGTCAATTTTATAAATCTTTACTTTGCAGGTTCAGGAAGGTCCACTTAGTAGTCTCTCTCGAAAATCACCAGAGGTGAGGTTGCTGCCATTTAGATCATGGTTATCGTTCACAAGGTTACAGTCACGAATTCGTGGTTAATTCTTGGTTTTCTCAGGGTTCACTGCTAAGAAAATCTGCCAGCACTGGTGATTGTTTGGTTAATCCTAAGCTGATGGTATAACCTTTTCTTTCCCATGATTGTGTTTGTTCTAATTTCCCCAGAAAATTGCAGTAAAATAATTAACTTTTTGTGGAGAAAAGAAAATTGCATACATCCATTGCAGCATTTGAGTTTTTGTGATAGGAAACGATCCCTAAAAATATCAATATTGAAGACATTAAATCTCAGACCTACTAATTATTGCCCTTCTACCACTTCTTTAGATCAATATGCGAATTGATTATTGCTCAATAGTACCTCATATTAATTGATGGATACTTGAAGGGCATTTGCTGGTACTCAGACATCTGATGGGAAACTTCCCATCAGAAGCTCCAACCTGTTCGTCGCAACATGGATCGACAATTACTGCAATATCAGAAAATATATTCTGCGACATTAGAAAACTGCAGTGAAAATACACAAAAAGTAACAATACCCTATAAAGAATTAAACTTATTAATATCACCTGCTGTCTAAAGTGGGCTAATAATCATGAGTTTGGGACCTAGCATGTTTCAGAAGAAGTAACGAAGGCTAAGATGAATCATCTTTCCATGTTAGAACACAAACATTTGGTAGTAGCAGTTGCAATGTAACAAAACCAAAATTGCAACATAAAAAACATAAAAAATAGATTCTGTTGCAACATAAGAACACATCGCCCACAAAAAATGGATCTATTGTCGTCAATGATGATTTGGAAACTTTGTAGACAAAATATTGATGTTGCATCTGTTGTTCACAATTGTCACACTGAGTCTGAATGTTGCAAAAAGAATTTTCTACCACAACATCCGAAAGATACAATCCCAACATCTCAAGTGACGTCGTCAGAAAAAATCAGAAAAATGTGTAAAAGAAAATCTTTCATATAGCGTCTTCCTCACCATACCAGGAATGATCCTCCATTGATACCTCACAGGCACAGCTGATGGGCGCTGTTACACGCCGATCAAGCTCATGCTGGAACAGATTGCTCCGTCGTTCACCCTATATGATATTCAGGCAGTGGCTGGGATTAGGGAGGCACTTGCATCACCATTTTCATGGTGGGGGAGGAGGGAACTGGGAGTAATCAATGAAGAGCATGGGGGATGTTGAAGGAGGGTGATAGCAGCCAAGGCGAGGCTGAAAGGCTTGGTCAGATGAGACCAGCAGTGGATCGATCTTTGCCTTGGCGCAGATAGAGAGAGAGGGAGGGAGCACATGCTACCGCAGCAGGTACTGGACCAATTTGTTGAACAAGAGATGGTTGACTGGCGTGCGAGCGCTGCAGGAGAAAATGAAGGGGAATAATGTGTCATCCAGATGGACTTGACCAAAGAAATAGAATGAAATCAAAGAAAAAACATAGAAAAAGGAAAAAATACGACAAAGTATTTACATCACAGCTGTTCACTTTCCTGTTTCATCGTAGCTGACACAGCTAATGAGGAACCAGGTACAGTGAAATAAATAAGGATGGAGAGATGATTTTTTTGAAGCCAATGTGTGTGTGAAGCGTCTGTTATTTTATTGGCATAGGATGCTTGGGTTGCAGCATTTCCAATACTAAAGAGCTCTATCATTGTTGAGTCACTTCATTCTATATTAACTGTTATTTTATTGCTTTCATCGGAAACTGTTTGTTCCTTATGTTTTATAAGCCAATAAACTATTTACTAACCGTTCAGATGCATGAGATTTGTGGTTTTTTTGTGGGATATTTGTGAATACAGCATGTTGACCATACATTAAATAAGAGTCTGCATATTTTCTATGAATTTTGTCGAACTCGATATGACATGATCAATTTTTACAACAAAAAATGCTTTGATATTGCAGTGTAACGCTAATCAGCTGAAGGAACTCTGCAATAGTTCAGTATCATCTTCAGTACTAATTCCCCACCTTAACAACCTTGTGCAACAGACCATGTTTCAGCAGGTCTGGAGGGATCTTTTGATGTCATCCTTCATTTCTGTTTTATAAGAATTAAATCATTTGATAAAAAAATTTGATTAACAATTGTCTCTCTTTACTTTAGGATCTAATCATGAACCTACTTAGTAACTTGCAACAGAATGAGAAAGTTGACGGTGAGTGTTTTTCCCTTGTTGAAGTTGGAGTTGTTTGTTTCATTGCCTGTTAGATAAAACTCTCTTTCCTTCAGGTACACAGCCTGGAATATCTTCTCAAGTTCGAACGATGGAGAATGATACAGTGGTAAGCATCAACCTAGCTTATGATTTCAAGTGTTGACGAATGAGTTTCCAGTCATCAGTCAGTGATTCCTTCAATCAATATTTTGTTCACAGTCCACTGTCAATTAAAAGGTGTTTTTTTACAGGCTGATACAGCTAACTCTGAGAAGGAACGGTCATTACTTGTTAATATTTCAGAATTACAGTCTAGGTATGCCCACTTATGCACAAATGATGTTACATATAATTCGAATGGTAAATATCGCAGGAACAGTTATGGCAGCTTTACAACCCCATATCACCTTTAATTTGTTGTTATGGCACCACTTCTATTTTGTTTTGGCAACCCGCAGTAGAGTAGCTGATCTTAGGAACATAATTTCACTATCAAATTGAATCAATTATTTTAGTATGTTATTTTGAGCATGCATACTGTTTGCAAAGACCGCTTGTATTTATTGCTAGAATTGCCAAAAATTATTTACCTCTCCCCCCCCCCCCTCTGCAGGATGATAACACTGACTGATGAATTAATTGCAGCTAAGCTAAAACATGTTCAGGTCAGTACCATTGTCTCATTTTACTGAAAATTTGTTATATCATTCATTACACCCCCCACACACACACACACAAAAAATGGTGACTTGGCTTCTGATTCTTGTTTCCTCATGGTATTTTCAGTTGCAGCAAGAGCTAAATGCATTGTACTGCCGAGAAGAAATTGAGGATATTAGGGATGAGGATAACGAAGAAACGTAATTGAGGATCCATGCCATATAAATTACCTGCCTCTCCCTGAGACATGAATTACCTGCCTCTCCCAGAGGTCAAGGGAGAACAAGAGAAGGAAAGTGGCAGCGCCGCCGCAAATATTTGCTGGATCTGGAGACTAGCTGCGGTTCTATGGAATTTGTTCTTTGAAGGTTGTCGTGCCCCTGGCCTGCTGCCATCAGTGTGTATAACCGTCTTTCTTTTAGTTACCTTTTTTTTCATTAGTTCAAGTTTTTTCTTTTTTTTGGTGACCACAAGATTGAGGCGTGGTTACCTATCATTGGAAGTAGCTGTGATTATGTATAGTCCGTAGGCTACCGGGTGGTTATCTATGCAGAATTGCAGAAGACTGCATAATAAATTGTATTTTTATCTAGCAATAGGATGTATACTAAATATTGGCGCATTCGTTGATATGTTATTCGCAAACATCCAAACAGAGTTGTTTGCGTATATCTAATAAAATATGCATTTACTCCATTTGTCGCTGTCACGGACCAAATGATTATTCTAACGGTATTACAACCTGTTACATGCTGTGGGTAAATCTTCTCTATAAGGGTTTGTTTGGATGTTGTCGGATGTACATTAATCCACATGTATTAGTGTAAAATTTAGTTTAAGTTCTACTCTAATCCACTTCCACACATGTGGATGGATACGAATCCAAGCTATATGAGTACATCACTCCCAAATTTCTATATGAGTACATCACTCCCAATTTTTTTTGGTATGGTGGAAAAAATCTCCATTTGAATAACTTATCATAACTCCTAATCTATCTACACTTAGAAAAACGAAGGCATCCAAGCGCAAGCGTACCTGCATGACCGATACTCCCTATTGGTATTGGGGCTATTATTTTGGCGCTCCCTGTTTGCCCTAACCACCGCCTCCACCTCCGTATGAAGGTTCACCAGAAATTGGATCTCTGGACACTATTTTCAGATATAAGGATATTGAAGAAAGGTAGAGCATGAAATGAAGATTCTATTTTGGAAGTTCTAAGTGTGATGTATGGTGATGGGATGGTCAGCCATGACCCCACTGCTGCTGTCTACGAGGTTCGCTGGAATTAGATCTCCGGCCATTATTTTCAGACATGAGATTACTAAGAAGTAAATCAGGTAACGAAGATTTTGTTACGAAGGTTCTAGGTGTGAGCTACAGAGCTAGGTATCGAGGATGGTAGTCATGATGTCAAGTTATTTCGTCCATGATTGGTGGTTCGGTATAAATTATGATATGTATTTAGGAATGAAAAGAAGAAGTTGTTGACAGAATGTTACAAAACTAGATTTTTAAGACTCATTTTTTTAGATATTGTTAGGACTTAAATTTTTAGATCTCGTTGAAGATGCAAAACACATATGATGCGAGTAGCTGCCTAGCACGCCGCGGGGAATACTGATGCCGCACGCGCAAATCGGCGGCCTAATCACCTCGGCAAGGGGTTCGACAAGTCCGCGTCGTTCGGCCTCGTGAAGGGCAGACGAATCACGATCCGTGGTAGTGCCCTTGCATTTATTTAACTTGCACAAAATTTTGCATCGCCTTGTCATTTCTTCTCACAAGAGGAGGCTAAAGGATTTGTTACGTGCTAGAACATTTTGCCATGCTTCTGAGGGTCAATAGTTACAAGGGGGAACATACATAGGAAAAATTCTGCAAGTACAGCAGCAGCAGCAACAAGCACCTAAACAGGAAGGCACAAACTAGCATTTCTCCAGTACCGTTAACATCCTACTGCTAATCAGTCTCTCGCCCTGTCAGCTTCCATGGTTGAGCTGCTAGTACCTTCACCGGCCTCGTTTGCTGCATCGCGGCCCTGGCTGCGGATCTTCTCTGAGTACTTGGCAAAGGCAGCGGTAAGGGCTGACCTTACATCAGAGCCTTTCTTCTTCTTCGACGCATCTGGCTTTTCCACCGCATCTTGCAAACTGTCATCAGTAGATGAAGGTTGACCTTTTGCTTTCTCTCGGTCTGGGGTATCAGGTACTACAAGGTTTGGTCGGGCAGAAACCCGTTTGAACGGCTCATGGAAGCTATCATAGAGTCGTTTTACCTACAACAGTTGAACAAATTATATACACACATATTAAGCCAGGGAAATAGGGTTCGGCAGTGAAACACTCAAAATAGGGAGTTTGCAGTTTCAGTGGATAACCAATGTGTGCACGTTTACCTTCCGCTCACCAATTCCTGGGCATCGAGCCAGCTCCTCCATAGAAGCATTCATGATTTGTGAGAGTGACTGCAAATACATGAAGAACAATAACATTTATATGATGCGTATTTATTTGTTGGATTTCTTGTGTTAATGCTACTGACATATTGAAGTGCCAAAACAGAACATATTGTCAGACAAGTATACTTATGGAGGAAGTTGTAAGGCTTACAGGTCAGGGTGATTCTTTGTCCAACTTACCCCAAAAGATGAACCAAGTGTGACAACATCTGTTTTATTAACATGCCGAATGGATGTAAGCGCATGCGTCAACTGCAATTATCCAAAACCATACATAAAAATATAATCAAGGCACTGAGACTTTAATAACTGAAGTATCTCACTACCATCAACCTAGAAGGGCAGAACAGAGAGAGCTGTATTGAAACCACTCGTAATGCCAATGCTAGAAACATGGTTTGAAATAGAGAGAGTGCCACAGGGATACATTTCTTGCAAATCATAATAGCGCTATTTAATACCAGTTTTCCTGATCAACCAATGACATAGATCATTAAACTATCTTGTTCCTGAGAGGGTTCCCAGGAAGCATATATACCCGTGATAGATAGTCGTTATCCATGTGCTCACGAATAATGTCAGCTGGCTTGTTTTCATATACTTTAATAGTCTCCAAGTACCGACCACATTCCTCCAGGCTACAAGAGAGAACAGTTTGTTCAGACAACTTACTCTTGAATCTTCATAACCATATTTACATCATCAATTCATCATGAAATTGTTACGGAACTTCTCCGATTTGTGTGATGGAGGACCCATTTAATTCTTTTCTAGAAAAACAAAGACAAATATGTGCAATTATTTTAGTTGAATATTGAGATGATAAATAGATTTGTTTGGACGCAATAAAAAAAAGACCCAGCACAAGGTGATCCCAGAATTATATTCATATTATGTAGAACTGATATGACAATACAGGACGGTTCACAAAGAACAGGACCAAAAAAAATTACTGAATCCAAGCACATTAGAGTTACTATGGGAAAATACCTCCAACCACACAAGAGGGTGCAGTCATGAAGCAGCGCTGTTCTTGTAATTTCATGCAAAGGCTTGATTACATCTTCCTATGAACAGTAAAAATGCTAGATTTTTAAATTGAGATGCTTCAGAGTGAATATACTATGGCAAAGCAAGTATGTTGGTCAAGTGACTGAAACTTACAACATCAACATGGCACAAGATGACACGCAGCCTGAAATTCTTCTGCAGCTCTCTTATCCGATAGTACAAGTAGTCTGGATGTAGAAGATGGTACCTGATACTGCATCCATAACAACAGAAACTGAACAGTAAAAATCATTCAACAGAAGCACCTCAACGAACACACTCTGTGGCACCATTTTGTCCTAGTACTAATCAACATTGAAAATCGCTACAACACAGTACAGCACAGCACAGAGAAGTAAAACTAGAGAATTTTTTTCTCACAACAAAAGAATGCCTCATGGCACTGTCTAATAATATACAGGCAGGAAAATGATGTCTCCTGATAGATGCACATTCAACTAATCTACACAAGTCCAATTCAGAATGAAGACACGATCAGACGCAGAGAGTGCTAACCTCAAGTACAAGGCACATGACGATTGCCCAAGCACATAGTCCGGCACGACTTCTGCGAACGTCCACCTAGCATTCCTGATGTGCTTCAGCAGAGGGTTCCCTCTCTGCCGAACAAGAATGAACAAAAGACACGAAATTTGCTATACAATAAGGGGACAGGAACCTCAAAACAAGAAGTCAAAAGTGTCATGGTGCCAGAAACCACGCCCCAGTACCTGCCTATGACTGACGAGAATGGCGTTCTTGCTCTGGGGCGTCGGCGCTGAGGGGCTAGCCTGAGGCGGCCTGCGCCAGGAAACCGAACTCGTCTGAGTCGAGGCCAAGAGGAATAGAGGGAGGACAGTATAAGGTACCTCGGGGTGGTGGTGGTGGGCTGGGGAGGCGGCGGCGGAGGGGAGTAGAACTCGGAGGACTTGAGGAAGGAGAAATCCTGCGAGAATGATCCCAAGGACGACGACGAGGATGAAACGGCGGCGCCGCCGGAGCTGGCTAGAGGAGGGTTGTAGGAGGCCGGCTTCGAGGAAGAGGAGGTGGCGCCGGTGTCGAAGACCTCCTGATAGGACGGGATCTTGATGAGGTTCTTACCGGGATGCCCCTCCGGCGGCGCCTGCTGCTCTCTTCCCCCGTCCATGGCAGCGCGGGAGCGGGAGGCCGAGAGGCGTGGCCGTACGGGGACGACGCCCGGGACGGGGAGTAGCGACCCGCGAGTCTGACCGTCGCTGCACCTGCACGGAACCCGCGTGGGCCGGGCCGCCGGGGGATGTGAGAGTAGCGGTTGCGGGAGGGGAGACGCTTTGCCGGTTCTGTCATTTGGGCCGGAACCATGGGCTTCATTTGGATTAATTAGGATGGACCATCGAATTGTCGTAGTGTCTGTGATTTGGCCTTCGTCCGTCCATTCATGTGAGTACAGCCTTTATACGCTCTTGTGATTTTGCCTCCAATTTTGTAGAAAGCAGTTTTTTGGTTCATGCATGTTCAACGTATGGACCAAAGCTTCTGTAGGCGCTAGGATTTCAGCATGTGGTTTGATGAGGGGTGCAATTTGTGTAATTGGATAATCGTTCACCCGATGCCCGATGGGATTGCAATCAAGTAATTGGATTTCTATTGCAATGACTTGTGGGATTTGAAAATGAAATTTGCTGGATTATATTTGCAATCAAGTACTTGGTCATTTCAGTTTATTTGAATAAGATACAGTTATGGTGTTGTATCTGTCCTTCACATTTTTTAATCAATCGTTTTTGCCATATTATGGCAACTATATATATTTTCTGTGCGTCATGCTTTTGTACCTTTGTTATTGTTCCTGGGTGAGAATTTAAGCAAGACGATTTGGTTCGGGTGAGAATAATTTACCCTGTGTTCTTGATGTCCTGCCTCTACTGTGTTAGGAGCTAGCTCTGCTGCTGCATTTAGCATGGGACAAACGAGAGCAGGCGCATGATTCTTAGAGCCGCCAAAAACTGGTGAAACCATTTTTAGATCCTAAATTTCAGACAGATGGAGTTTTTTGTTTTTTTACCGCTTGTTAGATTTCCCTATATCATCAAGTCTTTAAACAGCTTACCGTCAAAACCTGATGGCTCTGAAGCTGCAAATTTCACTATTAATTGTTTGTTTTATGCATGTAAACGTGCAAATGAATCATGGGCAGTGTTTCACTATTAAGCTGCAAAACTTCAGTGCTTCTAAATGCGTAACATGCACCTTGTAAGAGGTCGATCATCTTACAAAATTGGGATCGACATGTCCACGAGCGAGGTGCAGTTCGAGCACCTACACTCCTGCAATGCAGGCAGAGGAGCACCACCAACACGCCCAACCCAAGGAGGTTGCCAATGGACTGCAGTCTGGTCAAGGGTCACGACCGATAGTGCCTATTTGAAGATCCAACCGACCTTTCCCCCTTCCCCAAAGTGAGTGATTAAGGTGCAGTGGCATTATTTTGTCATATTTAAAACCTTGGATATCCAACATTATTGCCCTGTTGTTTGTAGTACGTATTTATTTGTGGTATGGCTCATGCACCCCATGATTTCTCCTCTATGCCTCTCCTCCCATCTCCTATCTTTGCTCCCTATATGAACAAAGTATGCATTACATCAACAGTTTTAGTGCTCCCTATGAACCCGTTCTTATTATTACGGTATCCTGTTGGATCATGGAACCCCAGCTACTTCTTCCGCTTGCAGTCCATTTGCAGTTTGCAGCACGGCGCAACGCGGCAACGGAGGGTGCCGGGCCGGGGCTACAAGAGCAGAGAAGTCAGGTGGCATCATGGGCGGCGTGTGGGCGTGGGCCGCCGGGGCCTCTTCCTGACTGTCCGTAGGCAGCTACTATGCAGAGGCGTCCCAGGACTAAAGTTCAGTAAACATCACGTCGGATATTTAGATACAAATTAGAAAGATTAAATATGAATCTAATTAAGTTTAATAGATTCGTCTCATAAATTAATCTCAATCTATATAATTAGTTTTGTAATTAATTTACGTTTAATACTCCATATATGATTTGACATGCCAGGAGGACCAAACACCAGTCGCTCGGCTACCCCTTTTCAAATTTTACTGACCGACGACAGGCTGCCTGTAGCGTAGCAGCATGGCTGGCCGTACGCAGTGGTCAATGCTTAACAGCCCAGTGTTAGCATAACTGCCAGGCGGGACCTTATTTCGCTGAAAAGGTCTGAACGCACTTGAATGAAACCCCAAATGTCCGGGAGGAGGGACGAGCCCGAGACAGGGCACCACGACAAACGCGAGGTCCCGTCCCGACGGCACACAACAACACTCGTTTGGTCCTGTTTAGTATAGCTTATCTGAAAAGATAAACGCGAGATCCTGTCTCGAGAGCACACAACAACACCCGTTGGCTCTGTTTGGTACCGTTTATCTAAAAAACGTTTTCCGGATAAGCTGCAGAAATAGAGTAAAAGCGACGGTTAAAATAAGCTGGTCTGATTCAGCTTTTACTTTTTAATATAAATGGGAGCTGTGGGAATAAGTGTGGTCAGAATAAGCCGCTGAAAAACGTAACGTTTGGCTATTGATTTCAGTTTATTTTGACCATAAGCAACTTATAAGCTATAAAAACAGACCTGTTGTCTTGTCTACCAAAGCCGCAAGCCAGGTGATGACATATGGCGAGCAAGTGACGGCTAGCGCCAACGCGACTCGACCGAGATCGATGGAGGATGGGTGCCCATACGATACGATACGACATCAACGTGCGTGCGCGCCAGGGTTCGGCCGGTGTGGTGCCAGAGCCGCAAATGCAATTGGCCCAGGGCGATGGACGTACGGTCCAACGAAACTCGTGTCGGCATGGCACATGCACGCACGCGGGCGTCCGTGCATGTACTTGTCGCAACGTTGTCACGGTACACACACGTAGTACCGAATTTTTTACAATTTGGCCCTTTTTTTGAAAGTTTCTCACAAATAGACTCCTGACGGAAAGAATTCAGGAAATGGACCCTTAGCTTGGCGCCATTGATGCTGGCACCGAGCTAGGCGCCAGCGTCTCTGGCGCCGAGCTCCTGGGCATGGTCGATGACCTGCCAGGAGGCTCGGCGCCAGAGTGACTCGCGCCGAGCTCCCTGCATTTAACCCCGGCCCAACCTTCCTGCCCGAGCGTTCTTCCTCTTATTTCTCCTCCCTCTTGGGTTTTTCTCTCCCCACTTCACCCTACCTCACGAATCGTCATATTGGACATTAAAAACCTTGATTTGATCCGTAGATCTTCGAGAGCAAGGTATCCTCGCTCTCCTCCTTGTTTTTTTTGCATCGATTCGGTATATATTAGTCGGATTTTTGAACCTAAGAATCGTTATCACTTAGAGTTTCATTGTATCCCTCAATATATATATTATACAACCGTAGGTTGATTCCAAGGCGTGGAAAAAGCTAGCAAACCTAGGCGCATGTAGTTAGTTGTGGATCAAATGGGAAACCCTAGGTTTAGGGTTTAATGTTAACTGCTTTCGGTTCTTAGAACAAAATTGGTTGTATTGTAGTTATGGTTCTCATTGATATTTATTTGTGATGTTTTGATTTATGTTTGTTAAATTACATCCGTTTTGTTAGATGCAAAAAATATTTCGGGAGGAGTTTTGGCGAAAACGGGGTCGTCCTCGAGAATTATATCCCGACGCGTCTAGCAAAGATGCCCCCGTCCCTCCTGACCTCCCTATCCCTAACTATGACTGTGGTTTCCCGGCTCATGTTTTTCAATCGAAACATCCGGACACAGCGGCGCGTTGCTTCAATCGAAACATCTGGACACAGCGGCGCGTTACTTCTACACATGTAGTCGGTTTAATGTAAGAAATTGTTTGCACTATCCTTTTTCTTTATTTGTGTAAGTATGCTACTAATATTTTGTTGGAATCTCGTTGTGTAGGACCATGAGAGATGCCTTTTCTTTCAATGGATCGATGGTGCAGACAAGTTTGATCCTAGGTACCTCTTTTTCAATGATTGGTTTAAAGGGAGACATCCACGTGAGCACTTCAAGCGGTGGGTTCCACCCCCCTAACCCTCCGTCCGATGACGGCTAAGGAGAAGCACCTAGCTATAGTTAGACGACTCGAGGAATCTCCTCTGTGCGATTGCAGAGATCGAGCTATGATGAACCCTGAGAATACGTTGGAATTTGTGTGTCCAAACAAGCATGAAGTAAGTGCAAAGTGTATGTGTTGAAATCTTGAGCTATATGTGTTCATGTACTAATGTCTCATTATTTAGGTGTTTTCAATGGCGAAGTGTCGTTTCAAGGAGTTGTTGTATGGTCCTAAGAACCAATGGCCGGAAGAACCGCGGAGGGTTAAGGAAAAGAAGAAAGAAAGGGTAATCTACAAAGCACCTCTTGTCATGTGCGAATGTACTGTAAAATCCAACTATGGCCTAGTCCCTTCGGAGCTTGGAATAGGCCATTATTGCGGCCATATGATTGAGTATGATGAGGTTCGTTATTTTTGTGATAAACATGAAATCGTATTTTGTTTGTTTTGCTAAGACATATATGATATAATATTTCTTTTGAACAGAGCACTAGGAAATGCAGTTGGGAATGTTATGATGGTCAAGCTAAGTTCTTGGATGAACTGAAGAAGAGGCAACTAATTTCACAGAAGAGGGGATATGGACCTGACTACGTCAACCTATTCGTTAAACATCACAAAGAAAAGATGTGTGAGTTTGCTAGACAGCGCGGTATTTGTAACCCGATCGATGTTGGGCTTAACAAATGGGGATTGAAGTGGTAGATGACGTTAGAGGAGGAGAGGGCAAGGAATGAGGCAAGGGAGGAGACAAGAGTACATATGCAGGTCTTGAACGAGCATGTTGCTATATTATGAGCCAGTGAGTGCTTGAAAACCTTTTTTTCGTTGCCTGGTTTTAAATGTAATATAATCACGTTGCTAACTGATTGCATTTTATACATGAAGGGATTGATTGCAGCGGGGAACATGCCGCAGAGGTGGCTCGTGCAAGGTATGAGGAGAAGAAGTTAGATGACCATAGATCGCGAGCTGGTCGCACTGTTCAATCACCGATTGTGTTGTCTGATGAGGGAGACGAGGATGAGGACGACACTGCCAGACTGAGTGAGCTCATTGCTCTA